ATGAATAGAAAATAGTGTAAATGCCAGATCATTGTGAGCCATGATAAATGCTGTGATAGAACAAGAAGTCAAGGTAGAGAATGTTAGAGAAGGACTCAGACAGCTCTCTGAGGAGGGAGCCTGCGAGCTAATAGATGAGAGAAGCCACGGCTTTGATGGGAACCCACCAGCAGCACTGTTCTTTCTGTTCAGTGCTGGTGGCCCATCCAGCTCTGGCCAGGAAGAGTGGGTGGGTCTTGTCCTAAGGACCTGAACACTGAGACTCTTTCTTTCCGTGTGGATCGTCATTGGTAATCCATCCCTCTGTCAACATTTGGGTAAAAAATTGACTTCTTTTTTTTTAAGATTTGTTTGGGAGAGAGAGTGTGAGTGAGTGGGGGGAGGGGCAGACTCCCCTCTGATCGGAGAGCCTGATGTGGAGCTCAATCTCAGGACCCATGAGATCATGACCTGAGCCAAAACTAAGAGTCGGGCCCTTAACCAGCCACCCTGGCACCCCAAAACATTGACTCTTTACAATGTTGGTTAACTATGTAAGTATGAGTTTTGAATTACTGTTTTTCATGGACTAAAAGTGATACATAGGTGACTCTGTATAATGTACGAAGAAAGTGCCTGGCATATTGTAGGGGTTTGAAAATATTTGAATGAATGAATGATGTCAGCAAACCAAGAAAAAGACATGATTTAGTGTCAGCTCTGGTGACTCCTCAGCCATGCAAAGTGCTGTCAGTCAGTAGGAGGAATAAAGCCCATGTGACAGGTGCTGGGTTACTCACCCCAGGCAGGAAAGGACTTCGGGAGGAGACCTGTTCTAAAAATAGCAGGGTTCCTCAAAAAGTTAAACACAGGATTACCATAGATCCAGCAATTCTCCTGGATATATATGAGAGAGAATTGAAAATAGGGACTCAAGTATTTACACCCATGTTCATAGCAGCACTATTCACAATAGCCAAAAGGTAAAAAGTAACCCAAATGTCCATCAGTGGATGAATGGATAAACAAAATGTGCCTAGAGTAGGATATTATTCAGCCTTAAAAAGGAATGAAGTTCTAACTTGTGCTACAACATGGACGAACCTTGAAAACATTGTGCTAAGTGAGAGAAGCCAGACACAAAAGGACAAATACTGTGTGATATCACTTATATGAGGTACCTAGAATAAGCAAATTCATCAAGGCAAAAAGTAGAATGCTGGTTACCAGGGGTTGGAGACGGGGATGGGGAGTTACTGTTTAATGGGTACAAAGTTTAGGAGGATGAAAAAGGTTCTGGAAATGGATAGTAGTCATAAAACTCTGTGAATGTACTTAATGCTGCTGAATCATTCACTTAAAAATGGCTAAAATGGCAAAAACAGGACACTGGTTTTTCTAAGTTGTTTTTAAAAAGTTTCAGTTTTCCTAATTTATAGTCTGATAAACTTAAAAAATAGCAGCAAGAATTTTCTTCGAATGCAACGATTCATAATTTTTGATGCTAACAAATGGCATATTTTCCTGTTCCATTAAAGGATATTTCCCTAAAAACGAGAGAAATCTTCACCAACCTGGAACCCTTTTCAGAAGTTTCTGGTGATGGAGAAAAGCTAGTTCTCAATTTTGAGGCCCTAAAGCAAAGACGATTTCCACCAGCAACAGAAAACTTCCTTTACCATCTAGCGGCAGCTGAGCAGATGCTGAAAATCTGACTGTGACGGTGTATCACTGATGAATGATAGAAAGCTCTCTCACCACGGTTATCCACTAACTATGTAAAATACTGAAAATAACAATGAAAATGTTATATTTTTAATGATTTAATTGAAAGTATTGCGATTTGACCTGAAAAAGCCCTGAAACACATGAAAACCCTTTCTCTTTTCTCCTGATTGGTTTCCTGCCTGCGCTCAGTGTTGGACAAAGTGCTGTAACCACCATAAATAACATTAGCAATGGCGTGGCGTCTTGGAGTAAGAGAGAAAAAGCTCTGCCAAGTTCTTGTGCAAATCACAGCAAACCCAAAAGCCTTCATTATTATAAGTTCCAGTTGTCTCATTGCGTAGCCACCAACTAACAGTTTATTTTCAGAAAGCTGCCTGAAATTTTGCTTTATATTCTTCTAGGAAGAACTTTTATTCCTCATGAGGAACTCTACTTTCTGAGCCAAACTAAGTTTTCTGCAGAACAGTCTAGAAGATCATTCAGAAAAGATCCTGCAGTTGCACTTTCTTGTAAAAGAAAAGAATTTTTTTTTCTTGGCCTTTGAACATTTTTGCCTATGAGGATTTTGCATAAATTTTATACTTAAGTAGACAACTTTAACAATCCATATTTATACTGTCGCAGAGGTAAGCATCTGGCCAACGTAAGCCACTAGGACTCTTTCATTAACCCTGTTGCTGGCAATGTTCTTTTGAAAAAGATGCCAGTCCTTATATGGTGGAGTAAAATAAGAAGCCCATTTTGGATGTAAATATGTAAGTGGGACAGCATCTTTCCGTAATTGCCAAGGCCAAGACCAGAGAGTGTCTTCTTTGACCACATATGAAGGTAACTGTTCTTGTTCAGGTTATGTATCTTTTTCATAGTTGGAGACCTAAAAGTCACAAAATAAGCATGGAGGTCTAAATTATGTATTTGTTATTTTATTCTATGTACTCAAATTAGTTATGAAAGGTTATTTTACACTCACTACTGTTGTCTAGAAATCTTACCTACCCAGAAAAATGTTTGTAAAAAAATCTTTATTAGGTCTTTTATTCTTTGTGTTAGACATTTGTTGAGTAAAAATAAAAAATAGCCTTTTTCCCTCCCTCCTTGGGTGGGGGCAGGGGAGGATGTGGAATGAGGTGATGTTTCTAAGGCAAACAATTGAAAATTAAATCTGCACTTTATGAAAACGAGTATGAACATCTTTATCTCCCTCATTTTTTGTATTGCTATATCAGCTAATGATCAACGTTGTTAAAATTACAGATTATGATGCAGAAATAAAATGGAAATATTTTGATACTCTGTAAGTTTTAGGCAGCTGAAGAATTGTGCCCTCTTTCTGTAATTCTCCCCACTTCGAACAAAAGATAAAACCCTTTTGTCAATGCAGATGTACTGGGGAGTTCTTGCAAGACCTGTTTGAAAGTCAAGGGGTCCAGGCTCCCTTCTCCCACCCCTGGCTCGCCCCCTGCTCTCCCTGCCCTCGCCCTTCTCCCTCCCCCACTTCCTAGGGCTGGCACTTCAGTGTCTTCTTTGAAAAGATGCTCTCGCATTTCTACTCTGTCACCTGTTAGTGGCCAAGCCTCCACCTGGGGCCTTTGTATGAGTGTTGTTCTTTAATTTTGTTTAGTGTACACCTGTGGCTATACTGAGCCATCTGGTAGAACTTTTTTTTTTTTTTTAAGTAGGCTCCAAGCCCAGCGTGGAGCTCAACGTGGGGCTTGAACTCACCACCCTGAGATCAAGACCTGAGCTGAGATCAAGAGTCAGACGCTTAGCCAACTGAGCCACCCAGGCGCCCTGGTAGAATTTTTTTTTTTTTTTTTTTTTACTGATTTTTTGTTCTTGTAGGCTGTTGTGAAACCCTTTTAACCAAATTTGAAGATAACCTGTGGGACCCTGAAAGCCACAGATAGATTCCTTGACGATTTGGGGCAGGGTATGTTGGAAACATCCTCCAGTACGCCGACGTTTGGGTGCCTGCCGTGTCGTGCATGGTGTTGTATCCTGGGCCTTCCCTGATGCCCAGACACACTTCCTGCTCTCGAGGCACAGTTTACGGGGGCGCAGGGACAAGCAGGCTCTTCTGCTGCGGTGTGGCGAGTGCTAGACACAGTATGAGTGCTATGGGAGCACACAGAAGGGGCACCTAATTCAGTACTGTGAATCCTGGAAGGCTTCCTGGAGGGAGTGATGCCTAAGTTAGACCTGATGCATAAGCAAGAGTTAGCCTGGCAGGGAACAGCTGATATGAAGGTCCAGGAAGGAAAGACCATAGTCCATATGAGGAACGGGGTATTGGTCCAGAGTGAGGAAAAGGAGTGGCAAGAGATGAGTGAGGTTAAGGCTTTTGCCTGGCAGGGAATCTGGACTTGAACTGATGCACTGGAAAGCCGGCTAAGGCTTTTACGCAGGTGTTTGTCAGAGCAGGCTGGGGCATGGATTGGAGGAGCCAGAGAAGATGAGAGAGGAATACCAGCAGGGGATGCTGTTGCCCTGGGCAGGCTTGGGAAAGGGGCTTAGAGACCCGACACCTTGGGGTCAGCTGTGAAAGGCCTCGGGAGGGGAGGAGTAAGGGGGACACCAGTGCTCTTGGGTGATGTTACGTGGCGGTGCCATTTTCTGAGATTGGGAGGAAAAGATGGTCTCAAGTGGCTTTGTGGATGGCGGAGCACCCAGTGCAGCAGGACAAGGGCCTGTGGCTCAGGGGAGCAAGCCCAGGGCTGGGTCTGAGCACCCAGCAGAGTGGCGGTGGGGCCCGGAGGAGGGCAGTTTTAGCAGAGTGGAAGGTGGGGTGGAAACGGTGAGGGGAGACAGTCTTTGACCAAGTTTGGCTCTCGAAGGATGTTTGCTTGTTTAATAAGGCTGGTGAGTCACGTAGTTCAAATGTGACTGCGAAGGAGGGAGGAGGCCCGGCAGCTGCAGAACCAGGCCCTGAGGGAATCCGGCCAGAGGGGCCCAGAGCCGAGGGCACAGCTGGCCTTGCAAGGAGGCCTCTGAAGGACACTGTGAAATGACTAATAAACTTACCAAAAGTTGAGTGTTCGAAAAAATCAAGAAGGGTCCACCATGCCCAGGGCCCGGGCATTCCATTGATGGCCCATCTCAAGGTAACAGGAACCTCTGGTGAGCGCTGAAGGCCTCTGAGTCCCAGAGCCACCCTGTCTCCCTCCTCAGCTTCCTCCCGTTCTGGACTGCTTAACATCTCTGCCCTCAGCCACCCACCTCCTCTCTCTCCTCACTGGCCAATGACCCTGCCTCCTTCACGGTGAAAACCAAAACAACTGGCCAGCACCAGAACCTCCTGGCACCAAATCTGCGGGCCTCTTTTGGTAAGTTTATTAGTCATTTCACAGTGTCCTTCAGAGGCTGATGAACACATAGAAAATGGACTCTTCCATCAGCCGTTCTTTCTGCAGCCCCATGGGGTGGGTCAGACAGAACGGCCTCTCCTTTCTCTTCTCTCCTTCCATCCAGGCTCGAAAGCCCAGGCAACAGCCTTGAAAGGGCCATGGCCTGTGTCATTGGAAGGCAACCTGTGGGCGCAGATGCCTCGGGTGCCAGACCTGCTGCAGAGTTCTTCGATCGGACAGCTCGAGCAGAGAGGAAGGTGTTCAAGCAGGAACCAAACAAATTCACCGAAAACACATCCTTACACCCCTCTGTTATAGAAGAGTTCTGTTTCTTCTGTTGCAGACTGAATTTCCTTTTCAAGTTCACTGCACTGTATCTGAAAAACAAAGTCAAACTCTTCATATTTTTTTGTTTTAGAACTTTCCTTGCCTCTAAAGTTTAAAAAATTCAGAAAGCATCTGTTTCCCAGTCCCACTTTTTTCAGTGATGTCCAATCGATAGCACAACACATGACTTCCGAAACACTTTGTTATGGAGAATTTTAAATATAAACAAATGCAGAAAGAATGTAATGAACCCTCATATACTCATCACTCCGGTTTATTAACAATCTGCCAGTCTTCTTTCATCCAGCATACCCAGCTTGGAGGTATTTTCTGGAGTATCTGAAGGCAACTCTCAGATCTGCCATTTTACCTACAAATACTTCAGTGGGAAATTCCGAAAGATAAAGACTTTGTTATGTAACTGCTCTGCTGTCATCACACCTAACAAAATCAACAACAGTCCCCTAATAACCCAGCCACGGTCCTAGCCTAGCAAGGGGGCGGAAGTACTAGCTGAGAGTGGCAGGCAGGGGCGGCTTAGCGGAAAAGGAGTTTTGCAGGGGGACAAGCTTCCCCGTTAAGGTCCTTGAGTTTCCAGACCAGAAGGTCGCTGCAGCCTGTGGTATGTCTGAGAAGAATATCCCAGTCTTGGGCAGGGGCCTGTTGGCCTTGGGATTTCTCGACAAGCAGAGCTGGCCACCCTAGGCCAGACAAGGAGGCAGGGCCCCCACTGGCTCAGGACCACCATTCAGCCACCTCTGGGTCCACCTTGGATCAACAAGGTATTTTCAAGGTCCAGCAAATGCTAAGACTTACTTGGGTGTTGGTGGGGAGAGGCTCGAGAGGCGAGATGGACTCCATTTCCTGCCTCTACTCTGGCCCGAGAGCCCCTTCAAGCCTTGCAGGACCCACCTGCTGCCTTCAGAGTACAGCCTGCTTCCTCGGCCTGGCCGTGCACGTCCTGCCATCCGGCCCCAAGCATCCTGCCAGTCACACTCAGCCACATGTGCCCAGCTACACTGGACCCCTCAGCTCTCCTATACCCCCACTTGGAATGCCCTCTTCCCTCCCCGATCTCTGTTCAAATCCATCCATGTCCAAAGCTTCCCGCTTCCATGCAGCCTTCCTGGATCAGCTGGCAATTCTCTTCTTTCCCTAATTTCCCCACAGCCTTTCAGTCATGTTTACTTTCTAGCAGATAAGCATTATTTCCATATGTGATGCATTACCCTTTCTGCAAAAACCTGTAGCATCTGCCCCACCTGCTCTCTTCTATGGCCTCAGAATTTTAAGTAGGTCCAGAATAAGACCTCATTCCCCAGCTTCCCTTGCAGTAAGGCTTTGACCACATGACTAATCTCTGGCCAATGCACCAGAAGTAGAAGTGCCACCTGGCCAAGTGGAATGAGGAAGGTGCCATCTTGCACCTTGAAGATGGGGCCCAACCCTAGGGATGGTGGCCTGCTGAGCTGGAAGGAATGAGACCTCTGGGGACTCCATGACACATAGCTTCCTTACTGGGCTGGCTACCTCACTGTAGAGAGCAAGATGGAGTCTCTCACGTCAAATGGGAGCCTGTGAGGCAATGATGCAAGCAATTAAAGGTACGAGGCTAAACATACCAGCTACGAGGTATCGTGGGGACCAGCATCAGCTGACACCCCAGAACCGGTAACAAGCAGAAGCAGAGGAGGTCTGCAGGGGCCCAGGACCGAATGAATCCATCCATCCACCCATTCATTTATTTGAGAAAGAGCGCGTGAGAGCGCGTGAACAGGAGGTGGGGGGCAGAGGGAAAGAATCTTAAGCAGGCTCCACGCCCAGCACTGGGCTTGATCTCACAAGTCAGAAGCTTAACCGACTGAGCCACCCAGGCGCCTCCCAATTAAATCCCTCTTAAAAGGGGAGAATTTTTGCAGCAAGCTGTTAGACTCTTCAAACGTGACCCCTCTATGTCTGACCACTTAAAGGCATCTGCTGCCGAAGGCTCTGCCAGATCTCCGAACAGAACCGAGATCCTTCCCTGCTTGAACCAGAAGCAGCAAGTGCCGAGGAGCTGACCCAGACCAGACCGGGGCCTCATGTCAACTGCGCGCCCACGGACTGCCTTGGCGTTTCGTTCGTTAGCTTCCTACACCCTTCTCTTATCTTGTTTGTTGTGTGGCTTGTCTTACGTTCTGCTCGGTGCGCTGTGTAAGAAGCCAAGTTTTATCACCTGGTGACATGTCAATGAGCTTGGAATCCTGAACCTGCTTTATCGTTGTGATTAACTTTGCTTTATGACTGAATCAAGCTGACGTGGAAAGGCACACCTCGTGTGTGCACGTGCGTGGCGTGCTCATGACTCCCAAACTTCTATGTGAAGGAGAAATACACCTTCACCTTGTTGAGGTCACTGTTATTCTGATCTCAGTTCCAACCAAATGTAATCCTAGTTAATACAGAGCCCTTTCTTCCCTCCCCCCTGGCTACTGGCATTGAACCTAAACCACACATACGGGTGCCCCCCCGGGTCCCTTTCTCTTCACTTCCCCCCGCAGTCTGAATGCTCACAGGTTCTAACTTTTCCAATTCAACTCTGTCTCTCTAACCGACTAGCATGGACTTACTCCAAATCCCCCATCACCTCCAGCCAGAAAACTTCTACAGCCCCCCAGCTGTCCTCCCAGCCTCCAGGACTGGCCCCACTGACAGCCTGGCATCCAAAGGGTGGTATTTCTGAAATACAACCTGACTAAGCCACTCCCCCCTCGAAACCTCTCCTTCATCATCTCCATATAAAGTTCTATCACCGTGGGGGGCCTGTGAGGTCCTTCACCAGCTGGCCCCGCCACTCCATAGCTGCACGCCCCACAGGGGAATCTCATCTTCTCCCGTGCCCCTGGCTCATCATCTGTAAAATGGGAAAATGAAACGTTGTCTTGAAGACGAGCGACTGCTTGGCAGAGCCCCCAGGACACAGAAGGTGCTGGATAAACAGAAGTTACACTTGTTAACCTGCCCTGCCACTGCCCCCGGCCTCCGACTGTCGACGCTGCCTCTGTCATGCCCACACCGCCCCGGTGCGTGTCTGTGTCCCCTGCAATCCCACTGTGTCTGCGGCTACCTGTGTGCGGGGGTCTCTCCCTCACTGGCCACAGTGAGGGTCTCCCTCACGACCCAAACACATGCATTCAGCCCTGTCACTTTAAGTCTAGTGGCCGCCTGACTCGAGGAGGCTGGTGAGAGTGGCGGTGGTAAAGTGGAGAGGGTTGCTCTGGCCACTGGCAGGCTGTCCTGGATCTCGCCTTTCCATAAGAAGGGTGACCTCGTGCCACAGAAAGCAGCCACGAGCCAAGGACCAAAATGCTATCACAGAGTAAGGAACCGAGTTACTCCTAACATCGCAAAAGTGAATCCCACGATCCATGATGACATGTACAAGACAAACCAGAAAGAGACCCAATTACCTAACAACAAACTCGTTGATTCTAGATTCTGACTCCCCCATGCCAGCAAAGGGAGCTCTGCAAAAGATTCTTCCCTTGGACTTCTTAAAGCACACCACCCCCACCCTCAGCCAGGTCAGGATTCCTGGGCTCTGTGGTTCCTCCTCCCCCTAGGTCCCCAAATCAAAGCCCGTGGTGGCCACATGCCATTGCTTTCTCAGAGCTACTCAAGGGCAAGACCCTGTTTACTCATGGCTGACCCCAGCACCTCGCTTCCGGTCTGCCAGGGGAGGCCCTTTGTAAGTGTGTGGACTGAATCCAAGAGCCCGGGGGGTAGCCAGATCAAGGAAGCAGGGCAGCAGGAACTCCCCCAAGATTTAAAGACTTTTGTCAATGACCTAACCTGCAGATCAGCCACCTGCTCCACTCCTGAGTACCAAGGCAATCCAAAATAAGTATTCGCAAAAGGGTTCACTGTTACCGTAATCTTACTGTGACAAACCATGTCCTAATAGGTGGGCCTGGGACGGTTAAAAATATTTTCTAAATTTTGGGGCGCCTGGGTGGCTCAGTCATTAAGTGTCTGCCTTTGGCTCGGGTCATGATCCTGGGGTCCTGGGATCGAGCCCCGCATCGGGCTCCCTGCTCGACAGGAAGCCTGCTTCTCCCCCTCCCACTCCCCCTGCTTGTGTTCCCTCTCTCGCTGTGTCTCTGTCAAATAAATAAATAAAATCTTAAAAAAATATATATATATATTTTCTAACATTTTATTTTACTGAGAAGCTGCCCACCCCATCCCGCCCCTCAGCACCCTCAGAGTGAGTATAGCAACCATTTAAGAGAACTTAAAGTTTCTCTGTTATGTGCTAGCAGAGTTGCCCGAATTAATGACGCTGTGAACCTAAAATTACATAAGTTCGGTTTGGAACGAGTTCATTCCAGAATTTTGAAGACATCACTGATTTTTTTTTTTTTTTTAAGATTTTATTGATTTGACAGAGAGAGAGAGAGAGACAGAGAGAGAGGGAGCAGAAGCAGCGGGAGTGGGAGAGGGAGAAGCAGGCTTCCCGCCAAGCAGGGAGACCGATGCGGGGCTCGATCCCAGGACCCTGGGACCGTGACCCTAGCTGAAGGCAGACGCCTAACGACTGAGCCACCCAGGCGCCCCAAGACATCACTGATTTTTAACTTCAGTGGCAGAAACAAGCATTTAAAATTTCCACCTAAGAAATGCCAGAACTCGGGCGCCTGGGTGGCCCAGTCGGTTAAGCGACTGCCTTCGGCTCAGGTCATGGTCCTGGAGTCCCGGGATCGAGTCCCGCATCGGGCTCCCTGCTCAGCGGGGGGTCTGCTTCTCCCTCTGCCCTCTTCCCTCTCGTGCTCTCTGTCTCTCATTCTCTCTCTCTCAAATAAATAAATAAAATCTTTAAAAAAAAAAAAAAAAAGAAATGCCAGAACTCAATAATACCTATTACATCAGCAATGTCCTCAACAACAGCGACAACCCTTTGCAGAGATACTACTGTCTTCAGTTCTCTTTAACAGATACGGAAACTGAATCTCAGAGAACTGAAGCAGATTGACCAAGGTCATGGAGGAGGTGGGAATTCGAATCTAGGCCATCTGACTCATCATAAAGTAGAATATATCCCCGGCGATACAACCGCAGTAACACAGGAATCATTAGCTGCCTGTGAGTACACAGCTTAAAATAAAAATTCGGTTCCTTGGTCAAGTCAGCCACATGGCAGGTGCTCAACAGCCTCACGTGGCTAGTGGCTGCCGTGTGAGCACACGGATCAAACATGTCCATCACTGCAGAAAGTGCCACTGCATGGGGCATCACTATGGAATATTAGGAAGTACTTAAAATATCTCAAAGGTTTTTAAATGTCCCAGAAAAATGCTTCTGATATACCACTAAGAAACACAGAATCCAAAACTGCAGAAGTGATCTGAGGGGGGGGATTAAATCAAGTTATTTTTATAACTTTTGAAAACTGCAGATTTTTTAGAATTATTTATCTTACTCTTACAACGAGGAGAAGAAAAAGGGTTTTGGGGCACCTGGGTGGCTCAGTTGGTTAAGCGACTGCCTTCGGCTCAGGTCATGATCCTGGAGTCCTGGGATCGAGTCCCACATCGGGCTCCCTGCTCGGCGAGGAGCCTGCTTGTCCCTCTAACCCTCCCCCCTCTCATGTACTCTCTCTCTCTCTCATTCTCGCTCTCTCAAATAAATAAATAAATAATCTTTAAAAAAAGAAAAAGGGTTTTGAGGTTTGTTTTTTTTTTTTGAGAGAAATTTGAATAGGGGGCACTTACCCGTTCAATTTGTGGGAATATACTAAAAGAAACCGGCACCATCAGTCCCATTACTAAGACAGTACAAGACAGCTTGAAGGTCCATAATGACCACGGATATTGCCGGAAAAACTGGGTCCTGTAAGAGACAAGGTTACCAGGCATTTTTAGAGGCTGGCCCTCGGCTCGGACGGTCTGGCGTGCAGCTGCAGGCCCACGCCCTGGTTCCCCTCACCCACAAACACGAGATACCAGCAGCCTGTGCATCAGGCCCGCGGTTAAGTACTTGGCGGGCACTGCCCATTTGATCCCCCACAACCCTTTGAGGTTCGTGCTATCATCACCCCCTTCACACAAACGAGTGAAGTCCACTGACTGGTTAAGCCCAAAATCCCATGGCTCAAGAGTGAGAGGCCAGGTTCTAGATGCTGGGCTCCACTGACACGATGGGACATTCTGCCCCTGACCTCTGAGGGCGTGAGAGACCGCACGGGAAGATGCGAAGAACCCCAGCCTGGGAGTCAGAGACCCAGGGTCCCGGGTCCGGCTGGGGTCTGCACCGATAGACCAGGTGTCTCGGGCGAGTCCCTTCCCCCTCCTGAGTCTTGGGTTTCTTCACACGCAGGATGCAAGGGCTGAGTCAGAAGAGCCCCCGAGGTCACTCCAGCATGGACACTGTTGTGGCTGTGGGGGCCACTGGGAAACGAGCACCATCTCTCCGCCCCAGGTAGCCGGTGCCTCGATGTGGGCTCAAGGGACAGACTGGAGGACCCCAGCTTCCAAAGGCGCCCCAGCTCTGACCCAGCCAGAGTGGTCCAGGAAGAGCCTGGGCCAGCAGAGGTCTCCACCCCCATCCAACCGGTGGACCACGGGAAGTAACACTTGGCTCTAAGCAGCATGCTGCTATTTCTTGAAAATGCAATCCTTCCGGGGTCCTAACAAAGGCTTCCTAGCTCGCCACGCTGGACGGAGGGATTGGTTCAGGTGACCCCATCTGGGCCAACGGAATCCTTCCCTGGGAGTCTGGGAACTGAGTGAAAGACATTCTCTGCCTTCGCTGGGGTTTGCTGTGTTTTTCATCCCTCCCCAGGACGCTTGGAGGATATGAGCTGGGAGGTGTTGGCAGTCATGTCCCTCAGCAACACAAAGAGGCCAGCATGTGGCAGGACAGAGGAAGCTGACACCATGAAGATGAGGAGGAGTAGAGCTTCTGCTCGGCGACCACAGCCTACGTGGGCCCCCTGCCCACAGCCAGGATCTAAACCAACACATCTGCCTTCTGGCCTAAGCCACTGCGTGTTGGGTTTCTCACACCAGCCGGCCCCCAGGCCTTCCTGCTAATAGGCCACTTCTTGCTTCTCAAAAGGGATGATGGTCCACTAAACCTGGGCCACTTAGGCTAACTTAACACACGCTTGCCATGAAGGGGGAAGACCGGCCGGAGCAATCCTCACAGCACATCAGAGCTGGGAGAACCTGCAAATCACCTCAGCTCGGCATTCAAGACCCAAGGGGCCGTGCCCGGGGACACAGAGCCAGCTGAGGACGGGGCCTGGGCGAGAGACCGGGGCTGAAGAACGTGCACCTCTGGATTTCCACGCCTGCCCCAAATCAATCCTACTGTCTAAGCTGTGACGGAGAGAGTTTAACGGGAAGGCAACTGAGCAAACTTCTTCCTATCCCTCCCACCAGGTTCAGTGTTTGACAAGTTTTGTAAGGATTTTGAGTGTCAAATGTTCGTTCCCACCTGGGGAGATGAGCGTGCATCTTACCTTACAAAAAAGTGCGAGAAGACTTCAGGGATGAAAGCTGAGGTCCCAAACAGCACTACTCTGGATGTTGCTGTATCTTTAACGGCCTAGCGGAAATGGAAAGGAAGCATCTTAGCACATGGAGTGGGACCGTTTCCAGGGATCCTGCCACTCAAGACAGAGATGAGCAAACAGCAGCTCTCCTCTCTCACTTAGAAAAATACTGCGCGTGGAGAGGTGGAGACAGCCCCTCCGGGCACAGAGCTGGAGGATGGCTGGGCTTGGTGCCGGGATTTACCTCCCGCGGACTCCACCGTGGTCTCCCCATCGGTCTGCCAACCACCCCATCACTAAGTACAAGCAAAGGCAGCTTACAGAAAACTCGTCCCCTCGGGGGGAATGCTGGATCTGCCACCGAGGACTGCTGCGTGTTTTCCTTTCAGTCCAGGAATCGGACACTGGCCTCCTGATCCCGAGCAGCTCCCCAGTTACTCTCACCCCTTCGAGGGGAGGAACCCTCCAGAAGTCCAGCTCAGAGGGCACCAGTGTGGCATCACACCCACACGGACCATGCACCTGTATGCACCCACCTTTCGCTTGTGTCACTAAGTGTGCTATAAAATCTTACTTCGCACAAACATGTGTAGCTTGTAACGTTTTGTCATCTGTCCTATAATACACACTACTCTACATATGGAGCATTTAAACATGTCATTGACCATATGGGTTAGGTGCACAAGGTCACACGTACTCAAGGGCAATGTAAGAGAGGCTCTCAAGGGAAATCCTGACCACAGATGACACTCGCATGTTAACTTCCGAAGCCAACTCCTGGGTAAGTCACAACTCTCCATACAGCACTGCTGTGCACGACATGAACAGGCACACACACACTCGACCATCCCCTCCCAACCCTCTTTCCCACTTCTGGCTTCCTAGGACGGGGCTACAGCCTGCCTTCTGGGCTCCTCGCCCCAGCTCGGCAGCCTGCTCTCTGCTTCTTACACTGACGCTCAGCTCATCCGATTCCTCTGCAGGGAACGCCTTTCCCCATGGGGACAGAGGGGCTAACGGGGGTAGCTCTTAAAAAAATACACTTTCAGGGGGCGCCTGGGTGGCTCAGTCGGTGAAGCATCTGCCTTTGACTTCATGATCTCCGGGTCCTGGGATCAAGCCCCGCATCCGGCTCCCTGCTCAGCGGGAAGCCTGCTTCTCCCTCTCCCTCTGCCCACCCCCCCCAATCGTGTGGCTCTCTCCCGGGCGCTCGCTGTCTCAAATAAATGAATAAAATCTTTAAAATAAATAAATAAACTTTCAGGAATATAAAATAAAATCGCTCCACTTCAGGAAGAGAGAAGTGGCTGCTGAGGGTGGTGTGATTCAGTGGGGCTGTCTGCCTGTGTGCGAACCGACCACCCGTCCTGAGGGGCACCGGGCCCAGCCAAGGGCAAACAGTACAGATTGGCCCCCGAAATCTGATCAAAGGTGCCTTATTACAATCAGATATTGCTGGTTGCGTACTTTCTGAAATTTTAGCCAAAGACAATAGACCGTTTGGTGACAGGGAAATGATGAAAGAATGCTTATGCTTACGCACAGTTGCAGACTCTGTTCTTCAGAGGAAGATAAACTTAGAAAAAAAAAAAAAGCAGAGCATCAAATCTTTCTTTTACCCTAACTTGGCCTTCATGCAGAAAATGAAGTTCCTCCCGGAGAGAGGGACTAGAAATCCAGACAGCTCACGGGCCCGAGGCCGCCTCTCCTGGGAGGCTGAGCACTCGGGCCTCCCAGAGAGAAGTGAGCCTGCGGCTGAGGGCGTGGCCGAGCGGCTGAGGGCGTGGCCGAGCCGAGCCTAGCACAGCACCTGCTCAGGCGCCTCGTGCCGCGGGGCTACTCACCGATTAAACACCTGCTCTCACTCTTCTCTTCAGCTGTGTGCACGGTTCACAGCAGCCCTAACACCCTGCAGGTAAAGGGAGCTGCAGAGAAACGCAAACTGACGTCCACATAAAGACCTGTGCACGTCCAGAGCAGCATTATGCAGAACAGCCCCAGACTGGACACAGTCCAGATACCCCCAGCCTGGGGAAGGGATACGCAATGGGGTCGGCACATCCATACATGCAACGCTGCTCCGCAGGAAAAAGCAACAGACTGTTGGTAGGTACACTACAGCTGGAGGAACCTCAAAAGTGAAAGGAGGCAGACACAAAAAACACTTGTACGCGTCACTTACATGAAATTTCTGGAAAGTCAAAACTGTGAACACATAAAGCAGCTCAGTGTTCTCTGGGGCCGGGGGTGGGCGAAGGGGGTGACTCAGTGGGCATGAGGGAAATTTTTAGGATGAATATGTTCTAAATTTGGACTGTGGTGAAAGCTGCATAACTGCTTACATTTACGAAAATTCATCCAACTATACTCTCACAAAGGGCGAATTTTATAGTATGTAAATTATCTCTCAATAAAAAGGTCTCATTAGGGTGGCTCTTGGGCACAAAACCTTTATTTCAAAAGCGAGCTATTTTATTTTTGGCAGCTACTTCTCCCCTTGTTACCTGTAATCACTGTGTTTCTACTGTAATTCATTTAGGAAGGTGGCCACTATTTTCAGACATGCCACTGAATAAATGGTCTGGCAGGAATCTGGTGGCACACATGTGATAGTTTATAATCCAGCTTTGTGACTCACAGACAGGGTTTAGTGGAATATGCTTTGTGAGCCGAACAATGATGTATTTCCTGACTGAACGAGCAGCCATCTTTTCTGACCTCCGGCCAACACAGGCTCGCATTTGGCGGAGGCCCATCGGCGGCGGTCAGTCATACGTGTCAACCTGGTTGGCGAGAGCAGCCAGGAATTTGATCAGACACGAACTGCCGTGATGCCACGTAGATGTGACTCACATCTACGATCAGTTAACTTCAAATAAGATTACCTTCCATAGTGTGAATGGGCCTCATTTAATCAGTTGGAAAACCCTGAGAGCAAAATCTAGGTTTTCCCAAAGAAGAAATTCTGCCTGAAGACCACTGCGTGGGCTCCTGAGTTTCTAGCCTGCAGATGGGGCCAACACTTGACTAGCCTACGAGCCCTACAATTGCATGAGCCAATTACAATCAATCAATCAATCAATATCCTATTGGTTCTGTTTCTCTGGAGAACCCAGACTAATGCACCATCTTTTAACATCGTGGTGCAAAATGTAAAACTGCTCCCTCTGCATAATGAGGGAAAACAGGATAGGGAAAGGTTGAAGGGAGACGTGACTTTGTTCCCAGCTCTCAAACAGACAACTCCATGCTCTTCCCAAAAGGCAAGCCAGCTAGGGCTCCATAGCGTCCCCCTACCTTTGTCCCGGCTTTCCTGGAATAGCCCATGACATTGCCTTCCTTGTCCATGACTTCAATGCCTCGAATGGGCTCAAGACTTCGGACTGCGACAACATTCATTGCACTGATGTGGGCTGTGTATGTGAAGAAGAAAATGCGCAACAGAGGGCGAGTTTGCTCCAGCGAAGGAACATCTTTTCTGGTGTCAAGCATCCTTCTCTGATGGCTACGCTGCCCCGACCCTCAGGTGGTCAGCCGGCATGTGCTGGCCAATCTCGCTCCGTCTGGGGGCTGCAGAGCTGGGTCAGAACCGCTGGCCTCCTCGTCCTGGGTCCTGGGTCCGGCCAGGCTCCAGCCCCCCGACGGGATTCCAGTACAAATCCCTGGGTCCTTGAAATACGGCCCCCCTCTTTGCTTTAGCTTGTCTGACCAGGGTTCTATAACATTCTCCCCGATTTTACCACTGAGATCATTCTGCCAAGCCTTCAAACTGTTACGATTTCCAAACTCAAATCTGGAGTGTGAACTAGTGAACTTGCAGGCTGGCAAACCTCAAACAGTTGGCTAGTATCTCCGTCACTTCCACCGGAGTCGGCCCACCAGGCTGGAGCCCCCTAGGCTGCCGCCGCCTCCGTGTCTGACCCTAGGACAGTTCTGGAAAGTGCCCCTGCCTCAGCCTCCCTACCTGCAAATGGAATAATGACATTGCTACCCACACGTTTTTGGCAGGACGAAGTGAAATTAAACATGCAGAGGGCTGGCACCGTCTTTAGAGCGAGTTTGTATTCCCGGGCTCGTGTTCACCCTTTGACAATGGAAAGCAGACCAACAGAGCAAGGGTCACCTCTCAGACCAAGGACCTAATGTGGGCCTGGAGGCCCCAAGAAGCTGCAAACAGCAGCTGTCAACAGTCACCATGTGGCCAAGGGACTGGGCTGTCCCTCAAGATGTAGGGAGACTCAAGGACCACAAAGATTACATGCTTCCTGCTTACTGAGAATGATGACGGGAAGGGCTTTTTTCAACAGAACGTGATTCAGCCGCATCTGGAGCAAACGAGGGAATAACTAGAAGAAGAAGAGAGAAAACTCGTCATTGCAAAGGACCCAAAGTCAGCTGAACACACCCAGTAGCACAGAGCTGGTGTCAACCTAGCTCCTATCCCAGGTCAGGCCACTGCAAGCGCTCTCTGTGTTATTTTTTAATTCTTGCAACACTGAGGTGTTCGCCCGATCGTCAGAGGCTTAGGGAGGTAACTTGTCCGGAGTCTCGGAGCTGCTAAGAGTTTGAGCCAGGAGGCCAACCCCGGCTTATCTGACTCTAATGTCTATATTTTTAACGATCAGTGTCCTGACATCCCAAGCAATACACAACTTGTATAACATGTTTATGTAGCCTAAGTCAATTTTTTAAAAAGGTAAGAATACTAAGTATATGCCTAGAGACTTGGGGTACTCGTATGCTTACTTAGGGGGTGATGGGATTATAGGTGACCATTTCCCTTCTTGTGTCTTAGCCATACTTTCTTTCTTTCTTTTTTTCTTTAAAGATTTTATTTATTTATTTGACACAGAGAGAAAGAGAGCCCAAGCAGGGGGACCAGCAGAGGGAGAGGGAAAAGCAGGCTCCCCGCTAAGCAGGGAGCCTGATGCGGGGCTTGATCCCAGGACTCTGGGATCATGACCTGGGCCGAAGGCAGATGCTTAACTGACTGAGCCACCCAGGCGCGCCTTAGCCATACTTTCTAAATTGTTTAACTTGAAACAAATTTGTAATTCAGAATAGTTTCTTTTGTTCTGAGGAATAAAAAAGATTTGATAGATTTTTAAAATACCCACTCCAAAAAAGGAGGAAGAGGCAATCACTCCTGTCCCTAGTAACACACTCTCATGTAGGCGACGATTCTAAGGAAGAAACAAAAGTATGTATTCAGCAAACACCACGGTTTTACCCAGGAAGGATTATTAAAACAAACAAACTCCAAAAGAAGTAACACCGAATTGCGTATCCCCTGGGCCTCATAATACTCACATAACTTGCGTTTCCATTGACAATGTTGAACACTGTGGTGTAGGTATAGAAGGAAATCTGCAGAAAGGCACATAGATCACACACTACGGTCATTCGAGCACAACAGAACTCAGGAATCATGAAATAGAAATAGTTTTTACCTGAGGTAAAATCAGGGACTTCAGACTCTTTACTGACAGCATCGAGAAAAATATCTTTTAAGAAAATAAAGCAGAGTTTTAAGTGTTTGGAGGGGAGGGAGAGCAAAGACCTTCCCAGGGGAGACACTGCGCTGAGCACCCCACTCTCCCCAGGCGCTGGGACAAGGAGGCTACCGGGTGGTGGCGCGCAATGCTCAGCAAACACCCACAGGACACTGAGGACACGTGGGGGGCGGTCTCAGTGGTCCCTGCTTCCAAGATGTGAGATGCAGCAGGGCGGGGCAGCTGAGGAGTACGCACTCACGAGTGGACACAGACACAGGGCAGGTGTGGAGGAAGTGACAGAGGAAGGCTGTCCCTTTGGGAGAGCACCTCATGAGAGTCAAGGTGGGACCGCCTCGCTGGGGGGCAGTTCCAGGTCCCAGGTGAGGGCGTGTACGGGGGAGGAAGGTTAAGGGAGAGAAGGTAATGGACTATTCTGTGGGTTTGAGGCAGGGAGCCTGTCGTCCATCTCCTCGGAAGTGCTCTGCGCACCCGAGGCATCCCAAGAAAGGATAACCTTGTGACACTGGGACCTTCGAGAGGCGCCTGACTGGGTAAGCGTGAGGGCGGGGTGAAGGCCAGTGAGTAGCAGACAAGGGTCAGAGGTGGGGAATCCACAGCCATCTACCAGGCCATGGCGGGACAGGGGTCCAGAGCTGGAGATCACAAACCACTGAGGTTAGGAGATGAGCAACATCTTCCTACACCTGGGGTCTCAGGCTGACTCACCATGGGCGCCGTGAAAGGTAGGAGAGCTGGCAAAGAAGAGAAGAGGATCAGTGACCGTTGCTGCCCAGGTGCAGGGAAGAGGCCAAAAAGGGGAGTCGCCCACCCAAGAACCTTCCCTCTGGCAGCCTGAAGGCACGGATGCCAAAGGACAGTCTGTACTCATTCTTTTATTTTTCCTAATAATAACTATGTGCATGCAGCTAGCATTTCAGTCAGCACCGTCCAGAAAGACCTAACGAGGCACCCTCCGGCCTTCCAGTCCCTCTCACTGGAGGCAAAGCGGTTAACCTGTTCATCCTCCCCAGGAACTTAGCACATTCGTGATACTGTCGTTTATAAGAAGAAACCTGGATTTGCTCTTCATCCCTGTTCTTAGCACAGAGAGCCAAAAACCCTTGGAGTTTCCTGAGAACAGCAATAAAAAGGTGAAATGGGTGTCTTTTTTACCCTAGCAAGCCCCTTTCCACCTCGCCTGAGTTGATTTTCTTTTTTTTTTAAAGGTAGATTTATTTATTTGAAGAGACACACATCGAGAGAGGGAGCACAGCAGGGGGAGTGGGAGAGGGAGAAGCAGGCTCCCCCTGAGCAGGAAGCCCCATGCGGGGCTCATTCCCAGAACCCTGGGATCATGACCTGAGCTGACGCATAACCACTGAGCCACCCAGGTGCCCCGAGTTGATGTTAATAAGGGGACTTTTGCGGGTGCCTGGGTGGCTCAGTCGTTAAGTGTCTGCCTTCGGCTCAGGTCATGATTCCAGGGTCCTGGGATCGAGCCCCGCATCAGGCTCCCCGCTCGGTGGGAAGCCTGCTTCTCCCTCTCCCACTCCCCCTGCTTGTGTTCCCTCTCTCGCTGTGTCTCTCTCTGTCAAATAAATAAAATCTTAAAATAAAATAAGGGGACTTTTGGAAAGCCTCCGAGGAGGGGGCTGGTTGCCAGGGGAACCAGCTGGGGGATGAGGGGGTTGGACCTTCCAGCCCCACCCGCTGCCTCCACCTCGGGCGGGGAAAGGGGCTGGAGGCAGGGCTAGTCACAGTGGCCAAGGATTTAGTCAACCATACTAATAAAGCCTCCACTCTCACAGCGTTTCTGGCTTGCTGAGCATGTGCGGTGCTGGAGATGGTGTGGAAACTCCGTCCTCCCCAGCCTCCCTTGCCCTGTGCATCTCTTCCATCTGTTCCCTTTAATAATAAACCAGGAACCTAGTAAGTAAACTGTCTCCCCGAGTTCTGTGAGCCATTCTAGCAATTTCAAACCCAAGGAGGGAGGTGTGAGAACTCCAATTTATAGCCGGTTGGTCAGAAGTACAGGAGAGAATCTGGACTTTCAATTGGCGCTGGAAGTGGGGTGGTCTTGTGGGACTGAGCCCTTCACCTGGGGGGTCTGCTGCCACCTCCAGGTCGACAGTGTCAGAATTGCGTTAAAACTGTAGGACACGCTGCTGGGGTCACAGAATTGAAGGGGGTGGGAAAAGCCTGCACATCTGGTATCAGAAGTGAAACCTCAGGGGCACCTGGTTGGCTCGGTCAGTAGAGCATGCAACTCTTGATCTCGGAGGTTGTGAGTTTGAGCCTCACGTTGGGTGTAGAGATTACTAAAAATAATAAACTTAAAAAAATGCCAACTCACATGGATAGGCTTAAAAAAAAAAAGTGAAGCATCGAGAGGAGAAACAAGTGTTTTTCCTTCATGACGTCTATCAGGATAGATGCAAACTCCCACACTCTCTTGTGCTCACGATACTTATTCACACAAAGAGGACCACTATATGCTGTTTTATACTTTGCCTTTTTTCTCCTTAATACTAGTTCCTGGAGATCCACTCTTCCACATTGGCACACAGGATGTACGTCAATCTTTTTTTTTTTTTTTTTTTAAAGATTTTATTTATTTATTTGAGACAGAGAGAATGAGAGACAGAGAGCATGAGAGGGAGGAGGGTCAGAGGGAGAAGCAGACTCCCCGCTGAGCAGGGAGCCCGATGCGGGACTCGATCCCGGGACTCCAGGATCATGACCCGAGCCGAAGGCAGTCGCTTAACCAACTGAGCCACCCAGGCGCCCCGTACGTCAATCTTTTTAATGAATTATTTAACTATAGTCTGAATTGTTGGATATTCATGTTGTTTCCAGTTTCTTGTTTATAACCGAGAGAACTTCATAGTTAAAAGGGCCCTGTACAATCATGGGTTTTATTCCCCTCATCATAGTTTTTTTAAGATTTTTAGTTATTTATTTGACAGAGAGAGAGAGAACACAAGCAGGGGGAGCAGCAGAGAGAGGGAGAAGCAGGCTCCCACTGAGCGGGGAGCCCAACGTGGGGCTCAATCCCAGGACCCCGGGATCATGACCTGAGCTGAAGGCAGATGCTTAACCGACTGAGCCACCCAGGCGCCCCTCCCCTCATCATAGTTAAGAGAGAATACTACGTGGAATCTAAAATACTTATGAGTTACAAGTTCTGGAACCATCAACGAAATGATGGTGTGTTTCTTGGGAGGTGACAGAGCAAAGCAGGTTCCAGACCCAGGCCTGTGCCCTCACCCCCAACTCCCCAGATCTTTCCACAGGACTGGACGCAGCTCTGGGTCCCAAACCTACTCTTTTCCACTATCAAACCCAGACTCTGATGCAAACCTCCTTTTTAAGCTGTGGTTTCCAGACTCACACTCAGAAATCCTTCCAGGAAAAAAAAAAAAAAAAAGGCAGGCAGACTTTCTGAACTGTTACAAACAAACCATGTTTTCCCAACCCATTTCTGAAAATTAGAATCAGCTCACCTGCAGGTCGAAAAGGAACGGGAATCAGTTTGCTGTTGTCAGGATGCACGGTTGACTTTGCAAAGGTAAACACAAAGGTTAGTCTGATGTTCGGCTTTGTTTTTGTAGGAGGCTAAAAATTAGGAAAGGGCTGAAACTTACGAGACTTCTCTTCCAAGCGTCTTTTACCTGAAAAGAGAAAAAACAAGCAACAGCTTTTAAAGGTAAATTGGCAGCAAAAGAGAGGAAAAAAAACCCCATCTCTTCTCCAGTCTCATTTCTGGTGCCATCTTCATTCTGCCTTTTCAAGAGTGAAGACCAGGGGCACCTGGGTGGCTCAGTCGTTAAACGTCTGCCTTCGGCTCAGGTCATGATCCCGGGGTCCTGGGATTGAGCCCCGCATCAGGCTCCCCGCTTGGCGGAGAGCCTGCTTCTCCCTCTCCCACTCCCCTGCTTGTGTTCCCTCTTTTGCTGTGTCTCTCTGTCAAATAAATAAAATCTTAAAAAAAAAAAAAAAAGTGACGACCAGAACTGTTCAGTGCCACACAGATTGAAAAGTCAAAATAAATGAAGCAAATGAATCAAACAAATGAACTGACAATAAGCAATGAGATGACCCACAGAAAGAGAATGACCAGAACATTAAAAAGTCCTCAGTCTCTCTCTCTTTTTTAAAGATTTTATTTATTTATTTATCAGAGAGAGAAAGCACAAGCAGGGGGAGCAGCAGGCAGAGGGAGAGGGAGAAGCAGGCCACCGATGAGCAGGGAGCCTGATGCGGGGCTCAATCCCAGGACCCTGGGACCATGACCCAAGCCAAAGGCAGACGCTTAACCAACTGAACCACCCAGGTGCCCCAAAAAGTCCTCAGTCTCTTACCTTGGAGAGGGTTCAAGACCAACACCTAACTTAGCCCTCGGGTGAGTCCCTAAATCCTGCCTGCCCCTGGCTCAGAGAAGAGCAGGTTGTCTGCAGGTGACACACCATGCCATTAGCCAAGGCACCTGCCTCAGAGCTAGGCTGTGAGCCCAGAGGCCCCATAAAGTTCTTAAAAAAAACATCAAACCAACATAAATATGTGCACTTTCCACAGGCTCCCTCACGGAACTGGTATTTGTGGGCTCTGGAAAGCCCCATATACAGCAAGATAGATAACAAATACTTGGTTTAAGTCTTGGGGCAGGAATGTAACCCTGACCCGGAACACTGCCTCTAATGGGAAACAGATTCTGACTTCAGAGGCCTGCCTGAATTCTGGAGTTTGCCATGGGCTGCAGGGATCAGCCACAGAGAATCCCCACTAATATCTGAGCATAGGAAGAACCCTAGGATTTTTTTTTTCGTCCTTAATACTAGTTCCTCCTACTAGTAATCTGGTTTATGAGAACGAGTTCTAATTACATCTAAAAAAAACTAACCCAGTTTTGAAAAGCAGATCCCCTGGGCAGTGTTTACGATGACCAAACTCCACCTGATTTCAGACCATGCAAGGAGAAATCTCCTGAAGGCAACCACATCCAACCTTGAACCCAGCACACGAAACATACCCTTTGGTCCTCCAAGTCACGTATGGACGCATCTTCATTTGTTAACAATAGTTGCCTTGATTTTTCTATTTTTTCCTATAATCAGATAGAAAGAAATCAAGCAATGATCTCAACCTGATTTAGATTTGTCCAAATTATTTAGGAATCACATGCTCATTCACACCTGATTTCAGTGCAACTCGTAGCCAAGGTTCTCTACTGCCTGAGAGTTTCCATGAGGATAGTGCTGTGTGTCACTCAGACTTAGAGCTCCAGCAGCTGGACCCACGGGTGGCTGCCACCTCCCCCTCCCCCCAGACAGCTGATGTCAGCTGTCTCTGTGAGTGCTCCCACCATCTGCCTGGCTCTGTAAGTTAGAAACCTAGAAGTCCCTCCTCTCTCTCCCACATCTGATCCATTTGGGCTTACTTCCTCTCTTCATTTTTTCTTTTTTTTTTTTTAAATATTTTATTTATTTATTTGACAGAGAGAGAGAGATAGCGAGAGCAGGAACACAAGCGAGGGGAGTGGGAGAGGGAGAAGCAGGCTCCCCACCGAGCAGGGAGCCCGATGTGGGGCTCGATCCCAGGACCCTGGGATTATGACCTGAGCCGAAGGCAGACGCTTAACGACTGAGCCACCCAGGCGCCCCTCTTCATTTTTTTCTTTTTTTAAAGATTTTATCTATTTATTCATGAGAGAGAGAGAGAGAGAGAGAGAGGCAGAGGGAGAAGCAGGCTCCCAAGGAGCAGGGAGCCCGATGTGGGACTCGATCCCAGGACCCCGGGATCATGACCTGAGCCGAAGGCAGACGCCTAACCATCTGAGCCACCCAGGTGCCCCATTTTTTTCTTAATTTGAGAAAAAATAATTAAATACAGAAAAGACAATGAAATGAGTACATACTCATAATCCCCTCATCCAGAATTAACAACAGTAAACATTCAGTCATATTTGCTTCCAATTTTTTTTCCCCAAAAGCCGTCACCCCCAGTTTCGTGTCTCCCCATTCTATCAGAGATAACCACTATTATGAGTTCAAGGTATTAACTTCTAGTCCACTTTTTAATACTTATATATACACGAATACATGTATCTATAACAAAGATGTAGTACTGGGTCTTTATATTGGAATTTGCATAAATGTACTTTATGCATCCTGCTTTTTCCATTAAACACTGTAGACATGTTTTCCATTTAGCATCATATATAGTTTCCACTTAATATTATACATTGATAACTAGATCATCACTTTTAACTTTTATTAGTATTCCACTGTATGAATATACCACATTTGTTTCTCTATTTCCCTACTGATGGGGATTCAGGTTGTTTTTTAAAAAACAAGGCTGCACGGAACATCTTGAGCACAAGGATGGGAGTGTCCCTGTGGGTCCAGCCCTGAAGGATTATTGCTGCTGATACGGTATCTCCTCCTCTTGAGCCCTCGGCCACACCTGGTTCAAACCCTCATTACTCGCCACCTGGTGACCAAAGAGACCCTCTGGAACACAAACCTCACCACCTCGCCCTGCAGGCCAAATGCAAACCCCTCCCATCTGAAGGACACACAAGGCCCTTGAGGACCTGCCTGCTTCCCTGCATTAAAAGCCCCACCGACTAGACGACCTGCTCTCTCCCCTGGGCTTTGATTACTGTCCCCTCTGTCTGGCCTTACCTCAACACTCTCCCGCAGTTTCCTGCCGCACCCCTCCTTTAGCACCCTAGGTCTAGGCCGGTGACCACCTTTGTCCGTCTATCCTATTACCAGGGACTTATTTTGATCCCTTCTGATACGGCAGTACCAACCCTGGTGTTATCTGTCTGCTTTTGTTTATAAACCTTCCAGTCTAACAAGCTCATTCGGAAGGAATAAAAACAATATATATGGATTGTTTCAACTGCTTTCAAAGGGACGCAGTCTTCACATTTCAGAATAAAATGTAAAATGTCTTATTTCCAAAAACAAGGAAATACTTACAATTGAAACAACCAAATTTGTAGGATCCAACAATTCTGTCCACTGAAGAAATCTCTGAATAAAAGACTTAAGAGGGAAAAGAGCACCAGAGAGGTTAATGGTGGCAGGAACAACAACAACAAAAAAGATATGAGACCCTAACAGGGCCTTCTAACCAAAGCAGCTCCTGGAATCTTCGGGACATCCCTGGGATCTTACAGGTGAGGAAAGAGGCACAGAAAAGCTCATGAACGTACCCATGGAAACCCAGCCAGGAAAGGACTCAGTAGTATGTGCTCTTAACCACTTCCATACCAAATTACTCTTGAAGGTTAAAAGCCCGGACTTTGGGGTCAAATGGGCCTAGTCCACATCCCACAAATGACCTTAAACCAACTACCTAGAAGAGTCTTAGAATTTGTTTCTTTACCCTCATCCTTGTTACAAGGATTAACTTGAGTCATAAAGAACCGGACACCCCCAGCGAGGCCTCAGTAAAGGTTGCTCGGTTCACACGTGGAGGAGGCATGAGCTCCCTGTCCCTTTCAACTTCCCCACCTAAAACCCCGCTGGGCCCTACTTTAGGTAAGGCTGAAAGAGAACACCCTAGAATTATACTGTCCAGTTAGCTCCATGTGGCTATGGAGCCCTTGAAATGTGGCCAGGCCAAACTGAAGTATGCTGTATGTGTAAAATATACACCAGATTTCAAAGACTTTCTAGGAAAAAAAAGCATGTAAATATCTCACTAGTAATTTTTATATCGATTATGTGTTGAAATGTTAGTATTTTATATTTGTTGGGCTAAATACATTAAAATTAATTTCAGCGGTTTCTTTTTACCCTCCTGAATGTGGTTACTAGAAAATTTTAAATGACCTATATGGCTCCCATCACATTGCCATTGGGCAGCGCCGTCCAGTCCCCGCCTGGAGGCGGGGCCGGAGCGACTTCTGTCCTCGCCGGCTGCCCACAGCCCCCGCGTCGTTTGAGTGGCTGAGCCTACCGAGCTCGGGAGGCTGGGGGCTCCTGGGAGCACCTGTTCCTTTCCAACCTGATGCTCAGCAACAGCTCAGGCAGCAGAGGGCCGACACCCGCGGGGGTCGGGGGGGCTGACTCCCCAGGGCAGGGCGACCTTGTGGCGACCCTCGCTAGCCAGGCCCGGGGCAGAGGTGACACGCGGTAACCGCCGTGGCTGTCGGCATCCTGCACTCTTGGGTTTCCCCTTCGTCCCCCCCCGGGGTCTGAGGCGGGAAGGCGGGTGGTGCGACCACGTGGCCTGCCCAAGGTCACCCGGGCCAGCCGGCGACTCCGCGCGGTGACTCCACCGGGCCCAGGGCCACCCCGCCCCCAGCCGCGCCGGGCCCAGGCCGTACTTGACGTTCGGTGATCCAGAAGCGCACGTTGGGCTCCATGCGGGAGCCGCGCCGCGGCACCCAGGGAGCCGCCCGGCCCCTGCGCTTCCTCCTCCTCGGGCGCTGCTTCCTGGGACCTGTGCGGTGTTTGGAGAGGCAGCGGCGGCCGGGCCGGGCCAGGCGCGGAGGAGGAGCCGGGCAGCGTGCCCCGCCCCGGGCGCGCGCGCGTCCCCTGTTCCCGCCGCCGGGTTCCTGGCGCGCCCGCGGCTCGGTGTCGTCGGGTGCCAGCGCCCTGGCCTCGGCCGCCTGAGGTTCCCGCTGCCCCGTCTCCGATCTCCCGCTGCTCGCTGTCACCACGCGCCAGCGCCCCAGATCGCACGCCTCCACCCCCGCTCCGGTCCCCGCGCGCCCTCCGTCCCCGTGAGCCTGCCCACCCTCCCACCGACCAAGTCTTCCCAGCCTTATCTACGCGTTAGGGTAGCCGGGCCGCTTCCAGCCTGGGGGCGGGGGGCGGTCACGTATGGGAATGCTCGTATCCTAGTACCTACTGAGAAGGCCCTGCATCTTACCCACGTGACAGGGGCACCAACCTCTTGGACATTATGGTGGAGAATCTTCAATTGCCCTTGAAGTCCAGTGTAGAGGGCACTGGGGATAGTCAGGGCTGGCTACTTAATTTTCACGGTGAAATTTGAAAATGTGGTGCCCCTTATTTAAAAAAGATTGAGAATTTAAGGGCCCCTGGGTTGTGCAGTGGGTTAAGCCTCCAACTCTTGGTTTCGCTCAGGTCCTGATCTCAGGGTGGAGTGACCAAGCCCTGCCCCTGACTACGCCCAGTGTGGTCCGCTTAGATTCTCTCCCTTTCCCTCTGCCCCTCCCGATTGTGCTCTCTAAATAAATAAATCTTTAAAAAAAAAAAAAAGTAATTAAAAAAAGTCAGTATCAGAGAATTAAGCCAGGCCTGGGGTCCCTTCCAAGTGTGGGGCCCTGCGTTGGCCTGTGATGGGGTCACCACACACAATGCTGCACTGGGGCAGATCCAGTTCCTTTGAATACCAGATAGAGTAGGGGCTGGTTGTAGAAAAAAAATGCACCTGCCTTCCTCCTGGGATTGCCTCCCCTAGCCCGCTGGCCCTGCACTATGGTGGGTGGGGGTTATGGGTGTTTGTTGAATGTACCTTCCTGGATGTTTAAGGAGTTCAGGGGTCCTCATGAGTCTTGGGTTGAGGACCCAGCACCACCGATTACTTAGTTGGATGGTCCTGGTCCAGTCAATGTAAGTGGGTCTATTTACTCATTTGTAAAATGAGGACAATAATTATATCTATTTTAAGGTTTTGTTGAGAATGAGTTAAAACATGTGAAAGTCCTAATATGACACTGGGTCCATTGGAAATGCTGTTTGGGCCTTTAATAGCCCACTGGCCTATTCCATCCCTTGCCTTGCCTTCCCCTCCAGGGACATGAAACCAGCTCATGTTTTCACCAGCTCATGTTTTCTTCAGGCCAATGTAACTTGACAGCTTCTTTTACTCAGCCCACCTGGCTCACTTTTCTATAGCCTCAAGAGTTCATCTCCTTTTCCAGGAAGTTCTTCCGCACACCCATAGCTGGGTGAGGTGCCCCTCCTCAGTGTTCCCCTTATGCCCCAGGGATGCATCCATTGTGCCGTCCTTTTAGCACACCGGTATTATCCTGTTGGCTCTACCCTCAAGTATGTCACAAATCCAACTCAGCTTCTCTTCTCGGGACCCTTATCTAGTCTTAACAAAGGAGCCACAGTGATCCTCCTAGAACAAGTTGATGTGACTCTTGTCAAAACCTTCCTTACATTTTCCATCTTAGTGAGAATCCAAAGTCCTTAGCTTGTTCAATTCTCTGCTCTAGCCCTTGCTCCAGTTTATTTCCCTTCCAAACATTCTATGTATTTTTATTGTTATTTATTGGCTTTCCCCCTCTACAATGTAACTGCATGAAGGAAGGGGGTTGTCTTTTTTTGGTTCACCCTTGTGCCTGCAAAACAGCACCTAACATGTGGCAGGCACTCAGGATTTACCACAATAACGAATAAATGCTTCATCTCTCTCCTGCCGGAACCTGAGTTCTTGGGTGTAGAGCCAGCATCTTACTCACTTTTGTGGGCCCCGAGTTAAATGCTCCACAAATGTTGGTTGATACAATCAGAAGGAAAATTACAGCCCCATAATATAAGCTGAACCAACAATTAATGGTATTAAACATGCAGATACTTTAAAATGTTTATTATGTACTTTACATTGAGCATTTCAGAAAAGAAAATTACAATGATTTCAAAATGCAATTCCTAGACTCGATAAATATCCTTTATAATTACACCCAATCAATATCTGGAATTGTATGTAGACCCTATGTCAGCTAACAAGTAAGTAAAATAACTATATTAATCTCAGGGACAAGAAACATGCATGATCACCTAAGTCACTCTGCCACTGTGCCTTTTTTTTTTTAAGATTATATATTTATTTGACAGAGAGAGACACAGCAAGAGAGGGAACACAAGCAGGGGGAGTGGGAGAGGGAGAAGCAGGCTTCCCGCGGAGCAGGGAGCCCGATGCGGGGCTGGATCCCAGGACGCTGGGGTCATGACCTGAGCCAAAGGCAGATGCTTAACGACTGAGCCACTCAGGCGCCCAGCCACCGTGTTTTTTTAAAAACATGATTCTCATTTGTTTCAAGTACATATACATCCACTGCAAGAGTTAAATTAGACCACTGATGTTAACACATTAAAACTATGTATGATCTTTGTTACCTTAAAAGAAAATTCAGTTTTGTACAAAGAAATTCAAGAAGAAACTTTTCAGGACCCTTGATCAGAAGCTTCGGTGAGTGCCCTACTATTCCGGTGTACATAAAGGTTCAAGTAAGGCCAACAAAGAATGTTTCCTCTTTCCATTGAAGACAATCCCAGGAACAGGTAAATTAGCATTCTATAAACTAGCTAGCCATCAAGAGGTTACCAATAAAGGACGCTTTAAGTGTGTGAGGACATTTAAAAGCCTCAGCCACTGTTACAAAGACACTAAAACATTTAGAGTATTATTTATGAATACAAGCATAATTGGTGTTTTGTCTTCTATAAATAATCATCTTTGAAATGCTCAAAGTGAGTTCCAACTGTAGCTCTTTCCTGATGTGAGAAGAGGTGGGTACACATGGGATGATCTACTGATTTACCTTCTCAAAGTATTCTTTGGAAGCAGTTGGATGTGGCTTGATCTGAAAATACAAAAACATTTAATTAGGCAGCTGACTTCAAGATAACAGTCTCAAAAGTGAGTTGAAAGCTCTGTTTTTAACCCAAAGTTTTTTAACTTTTTATTTTTATTTTATTTTTAATTTTTTAAGATTTTATTTATTTATTTGACAGAGAGAGAGACAGGGAGAGCAGGATCACAAGCAGGGGGAGTGGGAGAGGGAGAAGCAGGCTTCCCGCAGAGCAGGGAGCCCGATGTGGGGCTCGATCCCAGGACCCCGGGATCATGACCTGAGCCGAAGGCAGACGCTTAACCAACTGAGCCACCCAGGCGCCCCAGTTTTTTAACTTTTTAAAGTGTGGTCTGTTTCCTTTAAAATACACAGATGAAGGTTACATCAACATCCTGCCTGATCGCTGGCCCCGCCCCAACCCCTGCCCCTCGGCAGCTTCACCCATCTGCACACCATCTGCACACCTGCTCCAAGGGTGGGCTCCTTTTGTAGGTACTCTAGGCCAGGAGCCCTGGAGGCGAGGACCTGGGACCCTATGCTGGGGTCTCAATGCTTCTGGAAAAGAAACCTACTGTAGGAGAATCCGGGGTCCAGTTTGCTGGGCAGACTTCTCCATGGGTTTCCACAAACTGGAACGCCTTCACCAAGCGGAGGGTCTCTTCCACACTTCGGCCCACAGGGAGATCGTTGACACTCAAATGCTTGATGACTCCGTTGGGGTCAATGATGAAGAGACCTCTGCATCAGGATTTAGCCCCATTAGTACCTCAGCCGTACCACAACGACAAAGTCTAACTTCTACCCGCTTCTGTCTTTAATTCTCAATAAAGCATTAACTCCCCCATATGCTTAAATGTGGGGCTTTCACTGTTACACACAAAGCTGATCCTTTCTCACTGATGATGTGCCACACATCATGGGAGAGATGTGACCGGACCAGGCCGATGTGGAAAACAGGCAGTATTTCCCACAGAGAAAAGTTATAGAGTCTAAAAGTCAGAGAGCAGACTGCTTTAACTTATTAGTGATTTAGGTGTTCTCTGGGCGGCTGTATCAAATCCTGGCAAGAAACCAGAGGCAAATGAGAGGAGACAGAGATGTATCTTATCTATATTCAGTAAATACTGATGAAATGAGTGAATTCTTGGGTAAATGGGGGCGGGGAGAAATCCCCTGGGGAAATCTTTGCAGAAAGAATTTACTGGCCTCAAGTCTAGGCTGAGCAGAAATCTAAAGGAAAAACCAAGACTGTTACTCTTTATCACTTGGCAGCGGCAAAATGAAATGACCTGCCCTGTGGTCTGTGTTCATCTTCTGTGCAAGTGTTGGGGTTACCATGACATATGCAGATACGGGTCAACCACAGGGTTTAACAGTCCGTCTTAAAAGGGTGTGGCATTCCAAGTGTTAATCATGCAGGGAAAAAACAAGTAAAAGAAAAAGGCAAGGTGAAAAGGTGCTTCTTCCTTCCTGGGCCTGGCTCTTGGGGGTCCTGCTGTAAGCTCCTTGACCAAGAGCGAAGCCAAGCTGGAGTCCATGGTGCAGATGCAGATGCAGGGCCCCCAGACTCCGGAAAGCAAGCCTTATCTTCCAAACCAGACTCAAAGGAATAAGGATCTAGCCACTGAATGAATGAGGACAGAAATGACATTCTGGGACAGGAGTCATGACGCTACCAGAACCTGTGCTAAAAACTTCAGCTGCCTCGCCTTATTTAGTCCCCACAACCAACCTGGGAGGTCCATTCTCATTTTAGGTATGGGAAACCTGGGACTCAAAGAGGTTCAATAACTTGCCCAAAGTCACACAGCTGTTAAATAAATACGTGAGTTTAAAAAAAAAAAAAAAAAATCAAACTCTGGTCTGATTCCAGGGCTTGGACAAGATCTCACCCATCCCAGCTCACTGACTCCTACAGTCTGCTAGTCTCCCCTTCTCCAGACATGCCAGGA